TATATAAACACATGGATATATTGAAGCGATAACTTACATAGGTGTGACTCGCTGCTTGGCATTAGGATATAGTTAGAAGGAATTAATTAACAAATGATAATATAGAGTGAACTGTGTATAGCCCTTGATGTATGAGACATCCCCATTGATCTTCTTTTCCGACTCACGAGCGGAATAATTTTATTTGTGCGAAATAGATAGCAAAGAAAGGGAGAGGAAATGAGAGACAAGAATAGTCGCGAAGTGCTCCATTTCTTTTCGTTTTTCCCCCCTTTGCGATAGAGAGAGATTATCTTTCGCGCATAATATGTATAAATGTAAGAGATTCGCGGATATGGAATGATTATGGAGGGATCAGTCGGATGAAAGGGGAGGAAGTGGTATATAAATACAGGGACCCAATATATTGAAATTCACACACCAGGGACTCATGTTCTAATCGGTAGATTCTAAACGTTGTTCCGAACGAAATGAGATATGTTCAATCGGGTATATTAATCGCGCTCGAGAAGATCTCGAATGTCGATCTGATACGATACACCAATATTTAAATTATAATATTATACTTTGGGATCGGAGCAGCCGATATCATATCGCGGTTTAAAAATAATAAATTCCCGCATGACAAAGATTACGGTTGTAATCGCACGTGCGCTTCTCAGATAAACTTTCGACATTCCTTTTCTCGTGCAGACCGAGCCGCGAAATATGATACCGATTGCCTCCTCGTTCTGAATATGATAATTGCGTATAATACGCAAAACAAATAACTTGTACGACGTTAAACGTATAGCGGAATTGCATTGTGCGAATCGTCGGTCGTTCCTTAATTATAATTATTACTGAAATGTAAATCGTTGCGGAAATCCGCTTCTATTCAGTCTTCAAAGGACGACGAAGTGTATCGATACCACGACATTAAAATGCGACATTAGAATGCGAGGAATGTGGCCTTGATCGAGGAGTGAAAATTACGTCGACGATAAGTTGCGTGCGCATTGTCGAAGGGATTTTATCGCGCGATTTCCTCTTTGTAATCTTAAGATATTGGAATTGTTGGGGAGAACGCGAGTAATGGACATTTTTTTTTTTTTATGAGAGAATGCTTTGCTATCAAACACCAAGTTTTATTACATGTAAGTCACAATGCGCGCGAGATACTGTAAATATTGCGGATAAACCCGGTGCGGGGGTTTTGCACATTTTTAGAAGAGCGTTCGCATATTTAGACGATCAATCATTTGGCGATTAAACCGCGGAGGGGTTGGCAGAGACCTTTCCGAACGAGTCATGACATTAAAATGTACAGCAATTATATATCAGAACCAGATAGAATCTGAGAAGATATTGGATTGTACGCGCGCGAGAGCAAGAACGAAAAAGGGAGATAAAGAAGAAAGGGAGACGCGAAATTGTGTGGCGTACGATAATATTATTATTATCTCACTGATTGGTACATAGTCATACTGGTCTCGTAGCGTTATAGAGAGCCATTTAAACTCTGCATGCTTAGCCAATTTGCGATCGCCGGTAGATCCACGAGATCCCGCCGTGCGACGGACGTTTTAATAAAACGGGTGTAAAAACTATCGATAGAGACGCGTGTAGGCGTCCGCGATACGTGACGATCATCTTTAGAAGTTCATCGAGCCGACAAAAACGGGACATGCAAGTTACAGCGAATTGAACTTGGACGATGCGTCGCGAGAAAAACGACTGGAGCAACGGGACAGGGAAAGCAGAACGGTGTTGTTGTCATGCTCTTCTTCTAGACAATATCCCAGATTAGCTCGATAAAAATATGTCCTTTGTACCGGCTGGGTGATCGAATCCTCTCGCGAGAGGACCGAAGAGAACGCTTGATTGGCTAATTAATCCGCCTGATCGCGTCACATATCTGGGAGATGCGGAGGAACGGGAGACATCACTCGGGGCACGCGTCATCATTGGGTTTTTCTGCAAATAATAAGCGAATTGATTTCGAAATTTCACATGTTTAAGCGCGTTTCGTTCGGCATTTAGTTACAAGATTATGTTTGGAGTGAAGAAAGATTCGTTTTCGAACTTATTCGTGGAATCATTCCTTTCCTAGTCGCATAATCCATTTTACGTTAGCAAATTTCTATAAATTTCTCCTGATCCAACTGAAACTTTTTCTTCTACACTAATGTTCGAATGAATATTCGAAGATATGTTAAATCATCATTCATGCGAGCGTATCATATAATTAAAACGCACTCTTCCCTTCGGATATCTTTAGTGGATCACGACGCTTATGGAAAGGCTCAAGAAAGAGAAAAACAAAAATACCTAATATAATCATTGCGAATCTATTGTACGCTAATGTCTCGTGCTCCAGTCACTCGATGTAACGACCGTGCGAAGCGTTAAGAACTAGAGCATAATAAAATAGCCATAACGAATCGAACGAATAAATGGATTTGATGTTTAGACGCTGCCTCCGTTATGTGCCCTGCCGTAAAGAATAAAAAAATAACAGATAACCATGTACCCTCCCCTACCCCCCCCCCCATCTGAGAGAGAACGATATATAACATGGAAAATAAATTCGCAACAAAATAAATTGGTTCTCTTTTTTTTTCCACTTATCATCCATTATTTAAGGTAGAAAAACAACAGCTTGAAGTCTTGCTTTACGTGAGTTTATTATTATATATGTATATCACAAATTATATCACCTTTATTGTCCCTCGATGTGACTACGATCGTACAAAGTGTAATGTACAATATGTTCACGTTTTTCTTAATTTATATATGCATCTTTCGAATATTGGACGAAGAGAATAAGAGAATACTTTAACGAAATTCGTTCCGCAATTCCTTGAATATACTTTCCCGCTTGTATATCATTAGTTACAGAATGAACTTGTATTGCCTGACAAATGTAATCGGTTATATTTCACATGATTATTCTTAACAGTAGAACGTAGGATATATACTCGCATATTTTCTGCCAGCTGGTTTCTAACTACAAAATTCAGCTGGGTTAACGCTCGGCCTAAAGGAAGAAGATAACACATTCCTCCCACAAATGATATGATACGAAACACGTGCTGGTAACTTTTCACATGATATACGTATTTCCTCTTCACAATAATATCATCGCAGGTAATTAATAGGAAATGGATCCTTTTAATTCTAATTTCTTACATTTTCTCTGTTCATTCAAATTAAATACTTTCAAGGCTACAATACTTTGGCGAGGTCAATGTATAATCAATTTCATATCATAAATACTAACAAATATTGGCATAAACATTATACTAATATAGATAACAATATACTTTTTTTACAAGATTAAAATTTTGTGAAAGAGATAATAAGAAGAGGCTGTTGTAAATTATTTCAATCAATTTACCGTTATTTATGTTAATTTTATCAAGTTCTTTTCGAATAGCTTATTAGATTATCGAATAGTTTATCAGTTATTGAAGTAACTAATAAGTTATTAATATATAATTATATAATTGTATGATTGGTAAATAATATTAAATAAATAAAATATGCAATATTACTATCGGCACATTCCGTGACAGACTTCATTGTTTTCTGGTTATTATAATTTTACTTTCATGTACAATTTAATTTTAGAATAATTACAAATATGCACAACAAGATTAACATAAATAGAAACTTGTTATTTGTATATATATCTCTAATGTTAACGAAAGTATCAGATCATATAATCTCTAAATAGTTTAAACAATCTTCATTAATTCAACAAGTATTATTCGATATTATTCGATTAAAAAATTACATTGGAATAAGAGATTAATATAATCCACAGGAAAAAATATATTTGTGGAATAAGTTGGACTTTAATCAGACCAATCCTCCTCAGCTCTGCAAATTAATAATACTTTTGTTAATTTTTTACGATCTTGCTGAGATCAATTTACTGTCCATCACCGTTGCCAAGCTGCTTTTAAGGCAAGCATATTGGACAATACACTGTTGTTCACTATATAAGCAATAATATAACAATTTGTAATTATATAAATGCGTGTAAATATTAGGCGGAAACAAATAAATTACAAAAATATGATATACAAGGGACAATTATTAACATCTTAGAAAAATTTCACTCATATTGTAGCTGTATATTATAGAATTAGCTGTGCAAACTGACAATGTTCCACTACTCTTTCTCTTTCCATATAGTTGTCCACAAACTATAGAAATAATTAGCAAATTATATGAAATAACTTTCTATATGTCATTCAAATATATCAATGAAGTGCATTAATTAATAAAACGTTATGTAATAATATTAAGCAAATTTAAAGTCAAAGAGAAATTCTGTACTAACTTTAAATAGAGAAAATCGTAAAAGTCAGTTCGTTAGAATAGAGTAATGTTTGCAGCTTTAATGAAAACGAATTCTTATTCTTGTGAAAATATTTATACTGTTATACTGTTATAGATTTAATAGTATTATTAATAATATTTATATATACACCCATTTACAGGCAATATAATTTAAAAGCACATAGTTCAGCACACTTAAGGACACACCATACACACACAAAATAAATTAAATACTTAATATAGACCCATGTCTAGGACGTCCGTTCTTCTCCTTCCCGCGCGGTTGTTCCTTAGCTGTTCCAGTGATATTCAAATTCAATTGTGCGGTTGATGCCGTAGTCGCTTCGTCATCCGATTCTATTGGACTGATTCTGATTGCTTGGTACCATTGATTCGTCAAATCTGTCATCTGTGATTTACAGTCCTTCAACTCTTCCTGTGTGAATCGTCTCGTGAAGAACGGAATGAAAAATTTCAGATCCCATCTTGCGAAACCACGAATTCGCGATTGCAAGAAGGATACTTCCATTTCCTCCTCCGTGAGTTCCGACAAGTGTTCGGAATCAATGGTTTGTCCCTATAGATAGAAAAATAATGTATTATCTACACAAAGATTTTGTATATTAATTATTTGTACCGTAAGACTTTTTAAATTACCCATTCTCTTGTTTTGCTCAATGTAACTTCCTTATCCTTTTTCTTCCGCCTGCTGTTGTTTTTCTGCTTCTTTTCGGCCCTTAAAAATTTCAATAGAGGCATAGTGGATCCACCGAATATTAAAGTTGTGAACAATACGATGATAAGCGTCGTTGTTATAATAACGTGGCGTGTTTCATCGCTGAAATCTAAATGGAGTGACAATGCGTACGAAATAGCACCGCGCAGGCCACTAAACCACATGATGAACATCATTTTCCTCGTGATTTGATGCTCGCGGAAACGATTAACGAGTAAGGCCAATGGAAAGATATTGGCAGCTCTTCCGATCAGGCACAAGATCACAGACCAAACGACTAATGCTGGCTCAAACTAATATTAAAAAAAAATATCAAACAAATATTAAAAAAAAAAAGAAATTAATTAAAAATTAGAATTTAATTAAAAACATTTAAGGACTATTCGAATATATTATACCATATTCTTATTATACAATACCCTATGTCTAAAGCTGAATAATGCTAATCCCAAGTATGCAAAAACGCAGGTCTCAGCAATGAATGCTAAAGTTCGCATTGTCTGCTGCATTGTAATCTGCGTAACAGTTGACAAATTGAAATGTGTATAGTGCGACATGACTATTCCATTGAATAGAATTGCCATAATTCCTGCAACAATGAATTAGTATACAGTAAATAAAGTAGCAGTCATAATCAAGAAATTTTCTATATAATTATTACAAATGTTTACCTGACAGTTGTATGCCTTCTGCTAAAACATATGGAGCATATGTAAACACTAACATTATGCCAAACTCCAAAGATGGATTTTTCCTGAGGTCTACATGCTTCAACAGCAACGCGCTTATTAAAGCGAATACCACGCCAATACCCGCAGATGCGAAGAACATGAGGCAAAATCGATTCAGACCAAGTATGATAGCCTCGCTGGTCGTCGCCGCGTTGTTAGACTCTAGGACGGAGGTGGTCAATACGATAGAAATAGCATCGTTGAGAATTGATTCTCCAAAGACTAACATGTTCAGAACTGGATCAACATCCAGAGCATGAAAAATCGCAACGGTGGCGACTGGATCTACCGCTGATATTAACGACCCAAAGGCGAAGCTCTCAACGAAGCTAAGCTTGTATGCCACTTTTGCCAGACCGAGAAGATATATTCCAGCACCGATGACAAATGCAGAGATGGCCGTTCCAAAGATGGCAAATACCATGATACTGCCAATATTCTGAAAGAAGTTTCCCTTATGCAGATTATATCCTGATTCAAAGATGATGGGTGGAAGTAAGACTAGGAAAAATGCGGTCGGTGAGAAGGCTTCCTCCTTCCTCCAGTTTGCAATATTCTGATGTGACATGAGGTTTATGATCATGCCAATCGCAGCACCTAGGAAAACGATCACCACCGACTCGGGAAGGTACTGGAAATTAGTCTGCAGCATCAGATGTATTAACAATATGCCTAGCGCTAGGACGCATAGTACAAAGAATATAGACATGGAGCTGTTGTGCTCCTCTTCAGCAGAGCCCTTGTCAGGCAGGACTGGTTCTGCTGGAGCGGCTGTAGTCGTAGTAGCATTGGTTGAATTGACAGCATCTGGACTCTGCGATGATACAGAGATATCTGTTATGTTCTTGTCATTGATGGAACTTGGCGGTGTCGCACTGCTCCTCTCGGTCGTCTGGTCGCTTGCAACATTGTCAGGTTGCGCCGTGCTTGCGGATGGTAATGATGGCGGTTTCGTAGTTGTTGAACTAGCATTGTAACTGACAACGTAGCTTGTACTATTCGCAGATTGCGCTGTGCTAGATACTTCAGGTGATATGTTCACGTTTGTTGTGACATTCGGAATGACCGGAGCGTTCGTCACCGTGAACGTGATCTTGTTCTCGGTGACGATCCCGCTTGTATTTAGGTTAGTTGTGTCCTCGCCGTATGACACATGTCGCGATATACCACACAACAATAAGATCCCAACGACGAGACTCCAACTGCACGACAGTACGAAACGTGATCGAAATGTCATTTCTCAACGGTGTACCATTATCTTGCAGGTAGCAGAAGACAGCTTTGCAGCTTTCTCTCTTTTTCTCTTTTTGTCTATGTTTTGTTAGAACTCGGAAAGTTGTGAAAATTCTGACGTGTGACTAGTGAATTAGAATGTTCAAGATAACAGCTGACTCAGCCGCCAGTCTTTACAGACATAAAAAAATTCCCTAGATTATTATTATTATTATTTATACAAGATTCCTTGTGTGTATTATATAGAATAATTTTTGATATTATTATAATAATAATAATCTTTTGTTGATAGAAAAATATAAAAAAGGATATTTTTGTATTTTTACTTATGCTTTGTTTGTATCTTGGAACACTGCTAAGCGGGAATATTTATTGAAAGAATAGTTACTTTTTTATCTTTACCTTGATTTTTTAATATTATATCATTGATAAAATGTAAAAATATAAGGAATGATGTTAGAAACAGAGTTATGGTTATAAAATTGAAATACTTGGAGTTTTTATTGCCATCCTACTTATTCTATTAATTACTAAATCATTATGTCATTGATTATATTTTCTAGATACTTGAATGGGTCAGTTTTAAAACATTTTTGTAGTTCAAATGCGCGGATTGAAAATTCTAAAAATTTTTTTAATCGCTGTTCTCTCATTTTGGCGTATCAATTCTTATTTAATATCCTTTTGATTCTTTATCTATTTTTTGAAAATTTAAATTTTCAAAGTTACGACTTAAATTATAGAAATTCTGGAACTTATCTCTCTCTCTCTCTCTCTCTCTCTCTCTCTCTCTCTCTCTCTCTCTCTCATTTTTTGATAAATTAATTGATGTTACATTTGATTATACCTTTGATATTTTGCTAAATTTTGAAAATTTAAATTTTTCAGGAGACGAAAAACTTCAGGAAAAAAGAATGGATGAAAATTCTCTACGTAGAAGTATATTTATTCTATTTGTGCGTTATGATTATCTGTTTTTAACGTTTCATTCGTATACTCCCACGCTAATCCAATGCGACCAGTTTCTGCTGGTTGTACAGGATCTTCACCTAATCTTTGTTCGACACCTTTCCAAGATCTTTCTTGTAAATATTGAGCTCCAGCCTTACCAATAGCAACAGTACCTAATAAAAGAATTGCTATATAATAATTGTTGCAGTCTACATAAAATCACTTTAAATTATTAAATTGCTTACACAGAAAATATAAACATATAAAAAAATTTAATCCTTAAACAAAAATTCTTTAGTAAAAGTAATCATAAAATGTGAAAAAAAAACATATCTCTTTGATCTGCCAGAAATGAATTAATGTGGCCAAAGATTAAATAATTTCTTATTAAAAATAATGATATGATTTCAAGATTGCAGTTTTTATATCTTATTTTATATCTTATTAATTTCTTAAAATTTCTTTTTATTTAAATAAATTGAATATACCTGATGAACGAACTGTCAGAGCATTCATTTGATCTGTACATAAAGTATCATTCTCACAATTTCTAACTTTACTAGTAATGAGAGAGACATCCGAATCCATTGATGGCTTAAAGTTGATGTAGTGAGAACCACCAGGTAATATCTGCCGAAAGTCCATAAAATATTGTGGAGAAAACTCTCTCGCGCTGTTAAATGCTAATTCAACTTCGTACACCGTAAGTATGGGTTTAAAAAAGTCTCTTGAGTCAAATACTTCATTCTCTGGACAAGCTATCACAACAAAAGCATCAATCTGAAATAAAAGTCAAGTATTCGTTGATTTAAGTAAGATAAAATTAAATTCAATATGTTTCATTATATTATACATAACTGATGTACCTCCGTGAAATTTGCAAGCTTGGCAGGATTTATTTTTCCTACACTAAGAAGATAAGACTTTTTATTCTTTTGTTTGAGTATTCTTTTTACTGTGTTTATAGCTGTTAAATATTCTTGAATGCCCAATGTGGCCACTACAATTCCCACAACTTTGGCATCTCTCAACTTTTCTATTAAGAATCTTCTTCGTTTTAACCAAGATGTATTCAATGCTTCAAACTCGGTAATTTTACAATTTGTAGAATAATACCACTTCTTCACTGGTATACTCATCGCTAATAACGCAAGAGTTTTTTCTTTCTCGCCCAAAAAGAATCCTTCATAATCTTGTATTTTATATCCATTTTCTAAAGTATAATTTTTACCTAAGACAATTGTGGCCGGGCTTGTTTTTATATCAGTATATTCCACATTTGATGTACAATTTAATTTAGACAAAATTAAGTGTTTATATATAGGTTTCAATATATTATATATATATTCTGTAATCATAACAATTTACATTTATATCTCCACCTTCATCATCATCATCGCCAGTTTTCTCTATTTCTAACAATATTTTAAACATTTACCAATTTTATGTGCATATGCCACGTCATAGAAAAATACAATCTTCTTTGTGCAATCGGAAAAGATTCGCTTAAACTCGTCAGCGAATTCCGTCGTGTCCAATTGGTTTCTCGGTAAAACGTGAAAAATCGGTAAACGACCGGTAGGATTAAGGCAAGCGTGTCCAAAGTGTATTATGCCATCTGCATCAATGTGTTGCGCTGTTATCTCGTCGACACAACAACTACCACAAGTCGTGTCCCCTAAAATATATATTTTCTGCCCTACTTCTTTTTCTAAACGTAGCGCAACTTCTACCGAGTTTGGTAACAAGTTATCTGGAAACTGTAGACATACCTATAATACATGAGAGAGCATTACAACTCCAAAAAGATATTTAGTTAATAACAAAATTCATATATTCATATATTCATATAGTTATATAGAATTCTAATTACATATAACAAAAATTATCTAACCATGAGATAATATGCTATATAACTGTTCACATCAAATATATGTATTAGATAATTTAAGATCTGTTTTTTTATAGCTAAAGTACACATTTTTGAAACTTAAAGTGAAATGTACGTAGATGTACGTTTAATAGGTATTTGACTAAAGTGAAGAGAAAAAAATTCTAGCCCAGTCTAGTGAGGAATAAAAAACAGACTCCTAAAGACTTGCAATGTTTGCAATTAACTTAACTTAGCCTAATCTTATTTACCATCAATAAATATCTTCAGCAATGTGATCAACATTATCATTACTGTGTTATGGGTTATTCTCCATTTAATATTCTCATAACAAATATAATGATACATCTCTAGAAAAGATATTGTTTTTAAAAAATTGACACATAACCTCAACTTTATTTTTAATTCATGAAAAAAAAAAACGATGCTAAATCTTTTAGAGACCTGCAACTATACTATCCTACACTATTAACATTAGTATAAAAAAAGAGTCATTTTTAAAAACGTATGTATTCTTTAAACCTGTTTTAAAGCATTCGTCCGGATCCAACGAGCACATTTCTCTACTTCGTATGGATCGTTCTGATCGTCTATCACCTCGATGACTTCCTCGTCCTTTGCAGATTTTTCGATCTTCGTCAACGAGATCATGTCGTAGAGCCCGCGAGAATTCGGCGCAGAGATTTGTTTACGATTGCTACATGCATACGTGTGTTACTGGAATTCGCATATGGCGGGTCTTCCTTCACGAGCCCCCACAAACCTGCGCAATTTGCGCAGTGGTCACCCCTCTTCCTTCCTCATGATTCATTCCACGCAAATTCTTTCCTTTTCTTCTACTGGGACAGCAAATGTATTTTTATAAATAATATAATCTACTTATATATGAATGCTCGAAAGACAGAAGGAAGGATTTTGATCTATTATTTCTGTTGCATCCTTTCGCGTCTCTTCTGTTCAGAAGATGGAATATTGTACATTTTGAAATGGAGAAACGAAGATGTTTCGCTCGAGAATAAACACTTGAGATCTTACTTCTAATAATAATTTTTTCGCCTTTACGCTCTCGAACAATGCACCGATTACTATTCGATTTTCGAAGCACAATTATTTTATGATAAAACTAGAAATATTAAATTAATGCAACAATTTAATATTATTGAAACTAAGAGATAATAGAAATTTATTGGAAAAAAATATTGACGGAAAATATTTAAAAATATTTTTATGTTTAAAGATAGCCAGAATTTAAAAATATTTTCATTGAAAAATGTAATCGAAAGAATAATTATCAACTATGAATATTACTTTGCTTATTTTACGATATCTTGAATCTCTTCTTAGAGTACTATGAAACATCGTTATTTTTTTTTATGTTAATAGGAATATTAAAATCTGATGTTAATGAAAAAAAAACTTCTTATAAAAATACTTATTAAGGATATTATTAGCTAAAAATTATTAAAATATTTATTAATTTAATATGACATTACTACTCTGATTCTGTTCATGATTACGTTTTAAGATCGAAAAAGATTTTTATACTCATCAATCTATTTCCAATTATAAAAAATATCGTTTTAATATCGTGCTACTCGGTTTTATAAAATTTATATCTCGTTGAGACATGTAACAAAGCAGGCGATCTAGGCCAGGAAATGAAACGCGGAAATGAATTGCATCAAATAAATGTATTCGTATAAATCTGCGTGCATAAAAAATATTTAAACGTGTGATAATAAATAAATACAAATATAATAATTATAATTTTCATTACTCTTTCGAATTATAAACTTATATCCAATCGTAATTCCTATATTCCTATGAATTCACAAACTTGCGACGTTTGGCATTTAATTTAATTCTTCTCGTGCAATTTTTTTACATTGGAAGGAAATTGAATTCTCTTCTGAATTATATTGATATCGAGCCTTGACCTAGGCACTGCTGTTATCCTTAATAAATTCGAAAAAAAAAAATAAAGTCATCCTCATTATAATGATGGAGAACAGTCGAGAAAAATAGCTGAAAAGATAAAATGACGACAGTTTTTTAAGTACATAGAGTATGAAATTTACATAGGAAGATCCAAAAGTTTTCGATCCAACTCACTTCGAGACGTTAAAACTGGATTTAGTTTCGGCTATCAAGCGACTCAACATCTACTGTTATTATGTATTCAATTGCATTGTTTTAAGTAGTGTGATTTTAATCTCGAATTCTAATCTTGAAATAGACGAGTCGCGTTTGTCAAAATGTCAAAATGTTCAAGATGAAGTATTGTATCAATCAAATTCTTGACCAAAGAAGGACTTACACCAATACAGATTAAATAATTTATATGGAGTGATATAAAAATTTTTCTCCATTCTATTCTTTCGAATGTGAGAATGTGTACTAAATTATTTAAATTGGGAATCTTTTGATATTCCGCGCAGTCGATCTGCGAAAGCTATCATTCCAAAAACAATCGATCTTGTGGGGGTTGAATTGTTGAATATCTTTCTGTTGTACAAAGAAATGAGTAACGGGCGCATAAAGTGTTGTCGTGAGTTTTTAGATAGATAAAACTTCAACCAAAGAACAGATGTTTAGAATCGATTACTTTTACTGGAGACGTGACTATGGTTCAACAAAAAAGATTACAGCTATCATTTTTTGAGATCCCCAGGGAATTTTTTTGATTGATTATAAGAAAAGAAACACAACGGAATGTAAGATACTTATACGCAACACTTCTGCACCGTTTTGGACCTTACTACGTATATCAATTTAAAAAAACTTCATGCAATGATCATTTCGTTAAGCACATCGACGCTCTCCAAGACACAGAACATAAGATTTAGTACCCGATCACTATACTAGCGTGTTGTCTTATACAGCTCGTACGCTCGTACCAAATTTCGTTATTACTATTTCACCTGTTTGTTTATATCATTGTGAAAATAATTTAAAGTAGTATATTGTAAAAGAAATCAGGTTGAATTGTATACAAGATTGTATAATTCTGTGACACATATAGCACTATGTTACAAACAATGATACCTTTTTTTAAAAATCTGAGTATACTGAGATAAACGATTGGAAAATAAAATATTCTTTAAATTATATTTATAATATATTATCACTGTACCATTTGTCTTCACTCTCGTCAGCGGTTGTATTGTTAACATCTCAAATTGTTAACATGTTAACATGTAATAATTGCAAACTTGCGAACACGTAATCCGAACTCAGCAGACAGGGACGTAGGATGATGTACAACACACACACACACGCATACACACACGCATACACACACGCACACACACACACACACACACACGCACACGCACACACACACACACACACACATATATATATATATATACTCGTGAAATATCGGCAATTTATTAGGATTAAAAGAATTTCAATATATCCAAACTTTAAAATCTGTGAAGAATTAAGTCACGATTGCCGTCGAGAGTGTAATTGAACATTATGTATGTACAAACGATTATTATTCCTTACTGTAATACATTACATAGTTTCGCTTGGTTTTTTTTTTCTGTATATGTCAGTCTTGGATTGCTTTTGCCAGAAAACATTTCGTTTCCGCTGTCTCCAGAGAGTTGTTTTAGATATATGTAGAAAAAGAATACATGATCGCGTTCACATAATAAAACTGCATCTCGCGAAAAATGTCATGACACTTTGCAGGAGTATCACTTCGTTAAAAGAAAAAGCAGAAAAAAATTCCTGGTAGCAACTGTTTCTTAATTTTAAGTAGAATATTTTGTATAAAATATTCGCACGTAAAAATAAAAATAAAATCATACATTAATCATAGGAATGCATGCTCATTTCGATAATTATATAGATAGATATTCTCAATTGATCTGTGATTATTATGTGATTCTTTTTCCACATTCACTCTCTAACTTCCATCGATTACCCACATACCTATTATGAATCCATATGTGATGTTAAAAAAAATTTTAAAACTCTATACATTATTTAGAAACAGTTTTGTCTCTTTGATTTTGCGTCTTGACACTGAGACTGCATGTCAAATAGAAATAAATTTAAAATAACTCGCACAATTGTTATCTATTCCCTTTCTGCTTTTTGTACAAGATGATTTGTTATTGGTGATATAACTAATTTGCAAAGAATAAATCTAAGAGGAAACTATTCTTATTCTATAATTTTTATCGGAGATTATTTCTGAGAGATACAAAGTCTTGTGAAAAAACTTTATTCGACATTTTCACGATTTGTCTTTTAAGGGATTATCATCTTTTGCATCACCAATAATGGATCACCTTGTATATTGTATTAATTTGCATTTCGCATTTTTCCACGATTTTACATGGCAGTCTCTTATACTATTACTTTCTCTTTGCTTTTCCCATATGTTCCAATGATGATGGTGTTAATCATATAATGATGGTAATATGATAATAATAATTCTGAGAATAAATCTCAATAACAATAATACAAATAATATTATGGTAATAATATTAATATACCTTAAAAACGTATGTACAATATTCACCGACCCATTTTTTAAGTATCATAAGATTCGTCTACGAGTACTACAGATAAATTGGAATAAGTTGCTTTAAATAATTACTTTTTACAAAATTACATTACAAAGTGGCATATTGAAAAATCTGAGCGAGTTATCTATCTAAATCTATTCACATGTACAGCTGTTAAAATTAGATTTACGCGGTGGCTCTTTTTTTATTACAGCTAGACTACTGGAAAGTATACATGTTTGTATATTATGAATAATTATTGCCATTGTAAAACAGAATCTTTGATGAAAATGTTCAGTATTATACTGCACATGTATGCGCGATCCAGTTTGCCTCTGCTGAATAACGTATAAATAAAATAATAAAGTCGCATATGATTTATACAAATAATTTAGTAATTATATCTGTGCTCTTCAAGATATGCAGTATTGGAAACAGTCTGCTCGACATTATTACTAAAACATATAGTTCCCATGATAGGTAGATCTCAGTGATATCCACAAAAACCATGAAAAATCGACTTATAGTTTCTCTAAAATTCTTAAGATGCATTAATTGAACGCTTGATTCAACTATTAACTTTCACTTCTTAACATACTTTACTAAAGGAGGGTCACGAGCCTAAAATGCTGCGGACTGCTTGGTCCAACGCAGTGTCTTTCGAGTCGCCTGATTGCGATGACGAACTACCATTGCCGCTACCTGATAGACTGTTCGTAGGACGTTGCTTAAGATTAAGAATGCTGTCAATGGCAGACTGTACTTGCGCGTTAATTTCGTCATGTTCGTTACCAGTATTTCCACTTTCGCTACTCATTACAGTGCTGCTTGAACATTGCGTCTGCGAATGCAAAGCCAATCCATCCAAGTCGGTATCCTCCGATAAATCCCGTTCAAGATCAGTGGCACTACACCAACGCCTATCAAAGGACGTATTTACATCCTGCTCGCAATCGTCCTTCATAATCGTGTTTGAGACACCGGGTACATTCGTATTTGCAACATTCGTACGAAGACACTCGCCATTTGCTCGTGTTCTTTCAATTTTTGATGATCTCGTAACAGCGCACGCACTACTACCACTGTTATTGCCGTTTTTACACTTCAAAGTGTCTGCAGTAGACGGATATACACCTAGTTCTTTCTGGATTTCCAGCCACTCGTCATAATCGCCACTATTATTAGTACTACTTGACGATTTAATCACTGGTTTGCATTCCATTTCATCATTTGGGAAATCATCTTCTAACTCGCGCTTTACAGATACATTCATCAAAGATGACGATGTTGTTAATGTTGATTTATTCTCCTCCACAAGGCCAGGTTCAACTTTTGGCACCAACGGTTTTTCTTCCTTCTTAAACTCTTCTGTAATTTCATTCGCAATATATAAAATATCAAAACATACATTTTTTAAAAGAGAAATGTGTTTTTAAAATGTAATCATTTAAAATATACATGTTCACAAAAATGTAAAAATGATTACGGGGCATAAACAAAAAATATAATAAAATAAGAAGACTCGTAATCCCAAGAAAAATCAAATTTATACTTATTTTTATAATTATATATTTAAAAATAATTGATAATATGCGTAGTTACCGCTAAGTTTTGCTTCCTGTTCTCGTAACCTATTAAGAATACTTTGCTCTTCAGCCACAAAAGTCCTATCGATCATCATCAATTCTGACGTCCTGACTTCGCGCTATAATTTTAAAGATGTTAATGTAACGATAATGTTAATTACTTCAAATATCAAATAAGAAAAAAATTTGAAATGTAGAAAACTATTTTCTATAATTTTAAATTAAATAATTTAGATATTTTAAGTATCAATTTTTCATGTATAATTAATAAGAAAAATTATTAGTTGTATTAAACATTTATTTTAGTATATATGATTATTAAATAATTGAATATTATTCATACCATGCTTTCCATTAGGAGAAGATACGTGTATTTATTTATCATACAGTTGAATTTGCTTAATAAATGTTTTGCTGTCTCTTCAAATATTTCATCTGCTTTTGTCAGATCCTTGGGTCCTAGTACTTGCTCATTTAAACAATGATATCTTACTAAACGTTTGCAAGCATCACGTTTGCTTGAGAATGGTGTATTCATATCCGGTTTGGTTGCACCATTTTGATCAATTTGTAATTGTTGTTCCACTCTGCAAATAATTATATAATTAAATATTAATATTATTGAATGTTGGAAAATGATATTAAATGTAACAAAAACTTATATTCCAATACATACACATCGCTGCGATTCAATTGCCTACAAATCGGGCTAGTTGCACGCCTTTTTACGCCTTGCCTTGGACTTATTAAGGGATTGGTATTGCTGTTAGGACTGACAAGTTGTTTCACTGTACTTCCATTAGTATTTACAGGACTCTGAATTCTTTGTGTTCCCTTGCTTATCATTCTAGGCGATGTTACTTGATTCGCAGGAGAGCCGCTTTGCACTTGAACTTGGATAGGAGAAGAGAGTTCCTGCTTCACAGGACTCGGTGTCTGTATATTTGGTTTGAAATCCAATGGATCTGTTTGACACTGAGTCGATTGTTGTTGACATTGTATGCCTGACTGCTGCTGTGTTTGAACTTGGGTCAATTGTTGTGCGTTGCTCTGTAATTGTGGAGTTGCTACAGAAGTAATCGGTGGTGAAAAGATTTGTATGTTCGCAGAGGACGGATTCAATATCTGAGTCCCGTGATTCTGATAAAACTTATGCTGTTTAGTGTGCGTTTGATGCACAGTCTGTGTCACAGTGTTCGACATACTTGACTGTTGTCCTTGTACACTTTGCGGCATCTGTAATTATGTTATAAAATATAATGTCATGATGTCTAGTTTCTGTGCATAAAATATATTTTTATAAATGAAAACAATATATATATTTCCAATATTCTGCTTACCGTGATATTGTTAATGTAATTATTATTGGAGCTAGTCGGCATTGTTACAGACGTGGTTGGACTTAGAGTTTGAGATGTTGCTGGCATAGTAGGAATGGAAGTTTGCGTTTGTGTTTGTGTTTGCGCCGCTGATGTCTGATTCTTGAATGAATTTTGTGAATGAATATTTGATGCAACGGTTGAAACTACATTTACACTGAATGTTGTTTCGGCAGTCTATGCAGAAAAAATATATATATTTCGTTACAAATATTAAACAAATATTAAATATTTCATATTTTATTGATGATTATATTTTATTGTTACAACTTAAATATACTTACGCTATTGACAGATTGTGTAGTAGTGCTAATGACTTTCCCAAGGGATATTATCTTTGATTGTTCCTTGTGTAATTTATTCAATGCTGTTTGATCATGAGGTTTTCGAGATGAAATAGCTTGAATTTGTGACTGAATATTTTTCAGCGATTGCTGCAATTGAGCAGGTAACTGAATAGTTTGTACTCTTTGTAGCATTTGACCGTTTGAGGGAACTGATACATGGCTGCTGGCAGAAGTCGAAACCAATGGACCATTGGTAATGATTTGAGTCGATTCGCTTTTAGTAAGATTTGTATTATGAGATATCGTTGGGTTTGTTTTATTAGAATTGTCAACTTTTTGTAAATTAGATGTATTCGCTGTAACCATTGTTGGTCGAGTAACAGTTGCTGTCTTTGTCTAAAAAATGAAAATAGATTTTTTCGATGAAAAATAGGATAAATAAGAGATAAATTTTGTAATAAATTTTTAGAATAGAACAACAACAATTTATACCGAAAAAAAATAGATAAAAGATTGGGAAATATAGAAATAAAATGCATTTACCTGTGAGTTTACAATGTTTTGAGCAGTACCAGCAACTTTCTTTTTCACAACTTTCGCTTTCTTTGGTTGATTGTTGCCCAAATTCCTAATTTGTTGTTGATTTAAGTTGTCAATAAATTGATTAGGAAAGCCAGAATTTTGAATTTGTATATGTTGAGGCATCTGGGATGGTGCAGCTTGCACCACGATGTTCTGAATATTATTTTGAATTGTTGGAGCGCCACCAGAACTATTCACAATTATTTGACTCGTTGGAGTGTTGATCTGAACTCCTTGCAAGTTCTGATTACTTGCATCTGGCTCGCCAATTACTATCTTCTGCGTTTGGTTTTGATTCTGTGTCTGATTTGGCGCGTTTAATTGTCCAGCCAAAAGTTGTTGCAAGAGTTGCTGACTGATTACCTGCATCTGGCCATTCGCATTTGCGATCAGTAGTTGATCGTTAGGATTCAAGTTTCTTAACGCATTTAAAATTTCAGGAGTAATTTTAGGTGCGTTATTTAATATATTGTTCGCTGCTGAATTTAATATATTTGCACTCTGGGATTCGACATTTTGAGATTCATTTTGTTGAGTGATATTAGAAGTATTAGAGGCAGGAGTGTTTGTGATCAATATATTCTGATTCTGATTGTTTTGTTGTGTATTGATTCCTTGCTGTATGACATTAGCCGAGTTCTGAGACTCAAAGTGATGTGCATTAACGGAAGAGAAGGTATTTGCTGTCACTACTTTTTGTTGCTGAACATTCACATTTTGTTGGACACTCGTGTTATGTAAAACAGCAGATGTATTTTGTTGTTGCAAACTAGTCATAACATTCTGCTGTGCATGAGTTAAGTCTTTGATACCTGATTGCAAATTTTGTTCCATATTTTGAACATTACCAGCTGTATTTTGTAATACATTAATCGTATTTTGTTGTATACTTGAATGTAAAACATTCATAGTATCGTGTTGTTGCATAGTGTTACAAGAACTTTGTTGTTGTAATATATTCATGGAATTATGATGTATGTTTGAGCTCTGTAAATTTTGTTCAAATATTTGTTGTACATTTTGAGTTTGTACAGTTTGTGCAGTAATTTGTTGATTATGTTGAAATAATGGTGATTCCTGCTGTAGTGTTAGAGTTTCTTGTTGATTCGTTCGCTGAAGACTGTGATTAGTCTTAGTCATATGATCGTTTTGTGCTATTGAAGTACAAGGTAATGATTTCTGTACATGTTGTCGCTGTGACTGCTTTCCCATTTTTTGTCGTACATTTGTTACGCAAGTATTCATGAGTCGTGCCTGACTAGACTTTTGTAGAGAAAGATTGGAATTCTGTTGATTTGAATTTGTTTGCCTTGCATTAGATATTCGAGGACTTTGAATGCCAAATACAGTAGGTGAAGACTTTGTAGATAAAACATCTGGAGCATTCAGAGGAGTATTATTGCTTGTTTGTGATAATGTAGGATGAACATTCTTAATTTGCATCAGATTTTGTACATTGATATTCTTTGATGTTTGTGTCTCTTGTAAAGATCCGAGGTTACTTTGAACGCAGAGATTAGGTAGTGAATTAGTCTCTTGAGGAACAACATTTATATTCTTCTGTTGATTAATCGCTTTCGAACATATCTGACCATGATGCGGACTAGTAGTACAAGTGACATTTTGCGAGCATGTAGAACTTATAGTTGAAGCTTGATTTCCACTAGTTAAAGGAGATTTCACGTATTTTTGTCTCTGCTGAGTTGTATTTTGAGTAGATTGTGACGTACTTTGCGATTGGCTGAAAAATTGCGAGATAATCTGAGAGTTTTGTCCGCTACCTTGAGTCAGAGATCGTATTAAAGCTTGCGCGGTAGCCGAATCTATTTCAGGTTGATTAGGATCGGGGGTATGATGTAAAATAAGTTGTTTTCCATCTTCTCCAATTGATAAGCGAAACTGTCCCGTTAACGAATTTTGTACAGGCATCTGAAGTTGGGTGACAAGTTGATTGTTAAGCGGCTGCGCTACAGAAGTTTGCGTGTTCGTTGTGTTTGTTCCAGGTACTTGAGTTAGAGTAGAGCTAACAGGAACTGTCCCTTGCGATGAAAATTGCCCGAAAGATTGGCCAGATGTAGTTTCATTTTGCTGTACTTGACAAGGAATCTCGGGTTCAGTTGTCAGCTCAGAATCAAAAATATCATCATCGTCCCCTATACCCGATATCTTTATAATACGGGCGAGATCTAACTTCGGTTCATCATCTTTTCGTTTAGCTTTTTTCTTCTTTTTCGCTTTCTTCTTAGGAGGTGGCAGCAGATTTTGTTCCGACACAGGTTGTGTACACGAAGTATTGCCAGTTGTATTGCCAGATGTAACTTGTGAAATTTGCGATTGAGGACTTTGTACCATAGCATTCTGGATTACGATAGGATTGGTAGTCCCAGAATTAGCTGTAAATTTTTTTTATCGAATTGAAAAATATGATAAGACAGTAATATTTTATGATTAACGGAAAGATTGCTAAAGACTAGATTAAATAAATACAAAAGTCATATAACTAGAAACATCAATATTATATTCCGTAATTACTGATCACAGATTTAAGACTTCTTGAATTCAATTAGGATAATTAGATATTAAGATATTAAGATCAGGAGAAATTAAATAAGATTAATTAAATATTAAATAAGAAATTAATATCAGAGATAATATTTACAAATAAATGGCTTAAATTTACAGTTATTCTAAAAGCTAAAGGTTGAAACATCTGATTAATTTGTTATTTAATAAAGAATTCGCATACGATAAGATTGGAACACAGTTTTATAAATACTGTGGTTCTGATTAATAATTGCACTTTTTTTTGTATTTTTTAAAGTTATATTTTTTAAATTCAAAGACATGAAGAAATGCGATCTAAATAATTTTGTATATTTTTAAATATTTCTAAGTGTTTAATGTAAATAACATAAAAAGCTAAATTCTTACAATTAAATTATTATCTACATTATTTTTTAACAATTATGTTATACAATACTTTTCATATAAACTTATACAAATATTATTTTTTCTATGTTTTATTATTTTCAAATCAAAAGAAATATTTATGTATTTTATTTCTGTTAACTTATTCTATACATGTATTAACTGTGCATTTGTATGTGATATTATACATAATCAAAATTCATTTTACTGCAATATGTGATAACTTGCCTGGTGCAGGACTAGATGGAGTATGCCTTATTACTGGAGATGCAGTTGAAGGAAATCCGTTTGGTACAGCAAAGAATGTGGGCGTAATCCCTTGCAGTTGCATACCTTGTGCTGTGACAACCCTTACCAAGTGTTGTTGTTGTGTTAACTGTAATTAGAATTTTAAATACTTAATTTATTTCTTATTTTATATTTTTTATCATATGCTATAAATTTCATGCAAATATTTAAGAGATATTATCACACGTGAATTCTAAATATTATTATTCATTTTGTGTAAATTACATAATTTGTTATGACAGAATTAATTTGAACTTTATCTTTTAATATAATTTAAATCAATGCAAGTAAAAAAGTTATAAATAAAAAAAATTAAAAAAATTAAAAATAAGTTTGTGAGTTTATATTTAGCATATATTTAAAATACAAACATTTGTTAAATTATTTAGAAATAATTTTCATGATTCTTAATAAGAATAAAAATTTTTATGATTTTTTTTTCAACAAATGCAAATCATTTTAATATTTATGAAAATTTAAGCGATGATTATGAATGCGAATATGAAGATGTGTGAGAGAGAATGAATGGATGAAACCATCACCTGTGCGGTATGCGTTTGTTGCTGCGCGCCTGCTGGCGTCCTTAATATGAGTTGAACGCCTCCCGGTTGTACGCCTTGCTGTACAATAACAGGTGCGGTAGACGGCAATACCTATGTACCAAAGGTGATAAATATATGAAGCATAAAAGCAACTTTTTATGATAATAGAAATGCATGTAAGCAATTATAATAAATATAAAGCACATCGCAGTAACTTCTCATATAATAACAGCATGATATATATATTTTTATGTAATTACATAATGAATATGCAAATGGCAAACGTAATTGAGAAACAACATATTGAGAACAAACATATTATTATATATTATAATAATATACCTGATTCAGTAATAAACCCTGTGCTGTTGGGATCATTGTTGCTGTAGTAGGACTTGGTTGTGGTCCAGCAAGAACAATTTGTGGTTGACTCTGTTGGGTTACCTATAAAAAAAAGTAATATCCTTTAATGTATAATATAAAATCTTATGATATTGTAAAATATTAAAAAGCCAAGAGATTATAAACAGAATTAAAATAAACACTGTATCAAACAAGATTAAGTTTTTTTATAACACACACACACACACACACACACAAAGAATATTTCATAGATTATATATTTTATATGGAATAGATTTGATAAGATTAGGCTAGATTAAGGTAGATTAGACTGGAATTATAGCTGAATATCATGTATATATTGCATATAAGTAATTCAATACAGCAATTAAAAATAAAATCATACCTGATTTGTAATTGTAGTAGTAACTCTTTGTGTCTTTTGTTGAGAAGTATTAGTTTGTTGATTTGGTGGTTTTGGCAAAATTTGTGGTGGTTGCTTGGTAGGCTTACTCGTCGCTATTTGTATTTGCTGATTTCCAAATAATTGAGTCCTAGTCACCAGCTGAGTTGGGGTAGATTGATAACCCTGTGGTGTACCATGAATTATTTGTAACACCTGCATTCCTTGTTGTAATATGGGTGTATTAGGCCTAACCTAGAATACATGAAAAATAAAAGATGTTTAGATAAATGGATAATTTAATTTTTATTACTAAAATTGTATTCTTTCTCAGCAAGTAAATAAAGCATAATCTTTCTTAGCAGATAAATAAAAGAAAAAAGATGTAGACTATAGCCGTCTGAATATACAATAGTTATATGAGATATCGTTAAATGAGATCTTCAATTTCTAACTGCAATAATGAATATATTCCTATGTACAGATATACAGCATTAAATAAAACAAAATTGAAACATAAAAAGAAAAAAATAAACTTAGAGATATTAACGGGTATTTCAACAAAATCACTAAAATATATGTTACATTAAAATTGTAAAAAGAAATTAAATTTCAATAAGAAATTAGAGCAAAATTTCTAAATTTCTAAATTTTTGCAAGTATTCTTACCACAGGTGGACCAGGGCTACCTCCAGGTGCTGGGCTTCTATTGTTGAGAGAATTACTCCCGCTTAATAGATGAGGACTTTTTGCAGGGGGATACGGGCTAAGTACAGGGCTCTGTATTTGGCTAACACTCATCGGACTCTGCATGGGGCTTTGCATCTGCATGTTAAAGTTACTGTTCGAAGTCGACGTGCTGACTGGGCTTGGACTATTCCGATTGGACTGTATCGAGTTTGAAGCCGGACTTCTAAGTAAAAGTCGATTAGGGCTAGGACTCGGCGTAGGTGGTGCTATATTAGACGCTGGACTTTTCAAGGGTATTGAAAACGGACTACCCGGCGAACTAATGTTTTGACCTTGAATATTTTGCATAGACTTAACAGTATTCATAGTACTGACCACATTCGACGGTTGTGTTGTGCCTGTTAATGCGACTGATGCATTTAACCCAGGGCTTATCCCCTGTGAATATTGTCGCTGTGGTTGAAATCCAGTTGACTGGGAGGAACTTAAAGAAGAAACATGACTCAATGACATGGTCGGTTCATTTGCGGATATATGTTGTACATTTGACGTCGATATATTTGATAAATTAGGGTGCATTGTACCAAGGTGCGGTATGTTTGTAGTGAGATTCACGTTCGAAGCGTGATTCACATTTGCAGTGGTTGCATGAATCGATTCACTGGGAGTGCTTGTGAATATGCTGGAACTAGTCAGAGTTCCAGAATTAGAGATTTGTGAGATTGTTGAGATATTTGAATTAGGATGTTGCGATATAGCAGAGTTTGGTACATGTGCTATATTTGACGAGGCAACAATGTGTGGTGCAATAGTCTGAATGCTCTGTATCGTTTGGAATGGAAACTGTGCACTGCTAGAATTCAAACTAGTTGGCGTCAAACCAGTTGCCAGGGCATTTGCAGATCGATTAAGACCTTGATTTACACCAGAATTTATACTGGTAGTAGTCAAATTTGTATTCGGATTAATTGCAGATAAACCAGACACGCCGGAATTCGCGACAGTTAAATTAGTATTCAATGCAGTAAGATTCTGATTTACGCTCGATGAGTTTAGATTTGCTAAATTTGGACCGGTTAGTCCAGTATTTACTCCAGATAGCCCAGAATTAATATTTGAATTTATTGTATTGAGCCTGTTTATCCCAGTATTTACTCCTGTATTAATGCTATTTAAATCTTGTCCCAAGTTGGACAAACTGTTATTAATATTGTTTGAACCAATATTGGACGTTAGATTGGAATTGATAGCATTTAAATGACTCAGGCTAGGATTTATCGTAGTTAGCCCTGTGCTTATACTTGGCAAGCCCAAATTCAGCAGAGGATTTGATGTGGTGATAACATTGGATGTGAGAGATGTAAGACTGGTATTTAGAAGTGATAGTGGCAATCCCATATTAAGGCCCACCCCAAAAGTGGGGGTGGCCGGGGGTAGGCCCATACCAGTCCCCGAGGGATTTATGGTACTCTGATTCAATTGATTCAACTGATTTACGTAGACTATGTGATTTCCAGTTGCCGACCCATTTCCTTGCTCTTGTGGCTGCAAGAATAAGTAATGACATTAGAATGATATTTTTTAGAATGAAAATCGATAAAATATGATTGCTAATAAAAAACAGCTTACATTATTTGATGTCTGTTGCAAAGCAAATGTCAGCGACTGGCCACTGCTATTCTGGGCTTGTAATTGTTGTAATTGCTGCAACTGCAATAAAAATGACAAGGGGTTTTTTAAAGATCTATTAATTTTGTATTTTCTTTGTATTTTTTGTGTGATTTTTTTTGTATTTTCTAGATTTCAAATAAAATAACTGTACTGTAGATATTTTAACTTGGAAGGAGAGATACATAGGGTGCTTTCTAGCAAGGATACAGTCAGACACAATGTAACACATGAATCATTACATCCTTGTTGTTTGCCTACATTAAACAAGGATGAAACGATTTACTGTGTCTGATTGTGTCCTTGATGGAAAGCATCCATAAAGAGATCATGTATAAAAGCATCAAATAACAAGCAAATACGTTTTTATAAAATCTTACTTGTTGTTGGGTCAAAACAGTAACTGGATTATTATGACGCGCATTCGGGGAAGTTGTAGAGGATACTGAGTCCCCAAGAAGAGGGCGTGACTGAGGCTGCTGCATGCCCACGCAGCCCCTCTTTACTATGGGTAGCGTCTAGCCACCTATCCAGCTTATTTGGTTCTTTCCTATTAATATATAAAATACCATTTCATTCATTTTACAAGTTCAGAGATCTATGAGAAATTATTTTATAAAATAAACATAATATACAAATGACTGTAACTATCAGTAATCAGATCTTAATTTGCATGAAAAAAAAATTATATATTTCATAAAACTGATACATACTGAATAAAACCAATAGCAACTTAATAAATATAGTTAAAATGTGTTTAATAAAAGTATTCAAGATATTTTATATTTAATAATAAAAAAATCTTATTGAACATACATGTAAAAAATAGAACCAATAAACTATAACAGTCAAAGTTGTATCTTTAATGATTATATTTAATATCTGAGATACATATGAAAACAGAACCAAAAGAAAATAAATCATAACAGTCGAAATTGTATCTTTAATGATTATATTTAATATCTGAGAAATCATTTATTCATTAAATAAAAAAAAAATATATATATATTATTAATACACATATTTACCAAAATTATTCAACAGTTATAGAGAACAATATTTGCGTTTCGGCGCCACTCAACACGTCTGCGACCTACGTCTCCTGTTCCTGTCATGCATACAATTTCTTCCGAAGCTCAGGCAACACTGTGTCAATTCTAAAATATACTTGTATCCAAGTATATTGTCACCTTTAAAAATCTTGCTTCAGAACTAACCATTCATGGCCGTTATAGGCATTGCTTCGTAGTACATAGAAAGTAGTTCTCTCTCGAACTACTTTATCCATTAAAAAACAATTGTACAATTGCATTGTGAATATATCCTGACTTATATTTAAAATGCATCTGCTGCAGGATCTTATCCATTTATAAATGTAGCGTCACTACATTTGTCCATGACAACACATTCGAGATATGCACAGAGAATGATATTAACAGTACTTAGCAACAAGTAACAATTCATTTGTGTCACGCGCTATCCCAAGTCCAGGAAGTAACCCACAGACATTATTGAATACTTATCAATTGTTGTGAGTGTAATATCATAACTATATGCCTTTACTCACAAGATATCAGTCGGAATAATCGTTTTCTCTCAATAAAAATGTCATTTACGTCGCTAAGCACACTAGGCTTTCTACTGACACAGGTTTTGCTACCGATTTGAGTTCTGCAAAGAAAAAGCGGAGACTTCATTAACTATCACGAATAGAGTATTTATGCAAAAAGTCGAATAGTCTAGACGCTCTCCGCGAATTCTATCGCGATTAAATTGGCCTGAATCGCGATATTCTCGGGTTCGCCTTGGGGGGTACGCGAGAGATCTGAGAAACAGTGCAACATGTCACGAGCGGACGAGAACCGCTGTATTTCGGGACAGTGGTGATCTCTTCAGCCTATACAATAATTCTAAGGGGCTGAAGGATCCCGGTGAAACATTTCGAGAGGTTCGTACGAGAATTCGCCAGCTGGAAACATATTTTGAGGTTATAACTGTGCGCGCCTGTGTGCGAGATACGTGCCACACAAGCCACCAACACACGCATACGAATTGAGAATCACACACGGCTCACTCTCACTCACGGGTGCAAGCGGCGCGCGGATTGCACACAACAAAAGGCCCGACTGACAAGGCGTAAACAAAAGAAAACGCTGGGATTCGGGTAAAATCACGATCTCCGGTAGGACGAGGGTGCCGGTGTGCGACGCGGCGACGCGCGCGTTTGGCGGCCGACGCGCAAAAATGCGCGTAGCGTCGTGACGAAAAATTGTCAATATTACCTACGCGAACGCGGTTTTGCCACCCCGTGTTTTCCTCCTGGGAATTTTCACGCTCGCGCGCGATCTCGCTGCACGCGATCTCGCGTTTCGGCGCGATCCGCCGCACCTCGCCGAGAGGAAAACAACGCACACGGAGCACGCGCGACGACGATACTCCACTGAAAATAATAAACTTTTCAGTTACACGACAGTACTATGTACGCGTTACACTATTCGGTGGCAACGGCCATCATGTATTTGTCAAGGCTGCCATTGGCGCGGCACTATAAGGCCCCAGTCTGCGCCACTGGTGGCGCCCCGCGTCGAGGCGCCGCAACTTTTTGCGATCACGAAGGTAGGAAACGAAAGACAGGCATGCGAGAATGTTCTCGAGCGGAGAGAAAGCGAAATGCAATAAATGTACTGGTTCTTGCGCAGTAACAGCACACAAGATCGCTGAGATCCCGTACCGTTGGAGTATATGCGATCTAATAGAAAAAAAATGTATGGCATGTTGCTGTAGACTTTATTAAAATTGGGACTACATTTCTAGTAATTTTAGGAATTAGTCCATTTTCCTATCAATATAATTTTAATTTTAATATCATTTTAATTTATTTTCTTGATATATTATTAGTTTAAATTTGTTATTTGTTATTAATTTTAATAATCTTTAGTAATATACATATTTGTTATTAGTTTTTCTTGTTTTCTTTTACACTTTTATCGATTGTTATAATTTTTCTGTATGTTCTTGTATGGGTTGGCCTTGAAATAGCAATAAACATTTTATCTTTCTTTGATTCTTAGGATTAGGAAAAAATAGAAAATAAATAAAACAAACAGATTAAAGTTAATCTACATTGGTACAAATAATTTGTACTATATATATAAATTATACTATTTGACAGACTTTGGATATACAAAAACAATGTTAGGAATTTGCGTTTTTTTTACTCTAACACTTACTAATTCTAAAGATAAATTGAGTTGATATTGACTTGTAAAAGATATATATTCGCTTTTTATTAACGCTAGGTAAGAATATTACAATATAGAAAGTTTAATCTATCAATTTTTATATACGAATAAAAACTATATTCTCTCTATCGTTAATTACACTTTGAAGAAATTTAGGGTCCGACTACATATGCTACAACCGTCGCGTGGTCTAGCTTGCCAGGTATCATAGATATCTTCTCCAATGTCTTTTTTCTTCGAGATCTTTGTTCGTGTTTTGAGAGTTGTACAAGGTGACCGTCTTTATGTTGTGCGTAGTACAATTCCGTATCTTCTAAGATTCGCCTCTTTGCTGCAGTTATACGTACCTGTGGATAGGGGTTGATAAATATATTGCTCGATGAATAGACATAATAAAAATATACTGCACATTATATTATATTATATTATATGAAGTCACTATGGTATTGATTTAGAAAGAGTGAATAGTTTGAATCAAGGACTTGGACTGATAAATTTCGGTTCAGATAATGTCCGAGGCTCAATTTCATTTTTTTGGTTTCAGTTCTTTTACCGTAACGGTCACTGGGACCATTTTAATTTCGGTCCTTTTCAATGATTGTACATTTGTAACAGTCGTTGTCGCCGAAAGGACTGGAACCGACACCGAAATCAAAAATTGAGCAATCTCGAACCATAACTGTAACCGGTATAAAATTTCATTCTGAAATTTCAACTGATTTAAATCATTCTCTTGTGCTCTCTCTCTCTCTCTCTCTCTCTCTCTCTCTCTCTCTCTCCCACTCACTCTTTCTTTCTAACGAGTATCGAGTTGAAGAGAGCTAATATGTTCAATTCATTCTAACGGAGCATAGATATCGAGATTAGGGAATGAGCAATCTATACCTATTATAAATATACCTATTTTTATAAAATATTTCTATTTTGTTACCGCAAAGTCCAAAAGAAGTTCGCATAGATGTTTGGCACTGTTGCATGGCGGTCCTTCTCCAGAAACTCCGCGTCTCAACAGATCCTCCATTCTGAGCAGGGTAAGTTCGTGCCTTTGGTAAGCTTCAACAACTGGCAGATTGTTGCTATTTACATTACTATTACTCGACTCAGTGTGCCGCAGATTTTCTGTCGATCTTCGACGAGTTTTTAATCTCGCATCGTGACTTTTCAATGTGGCATCAGCGCCACTGCTGTGATTGGGCAAAACTGCAAATTTTCCAACCACAGGATCAAAATTATCTGAAATTCCATCACTTGTCAAAAACACTATGTCGCCTCTCTCGACCTCTGTTATAGCCAACGTTAAGTTGTTCAATTCGGGATTAGAACCATCTACTGGGCCTAGAGCTCCTAAGGCATCTCGCATGTCTCGCATGCAATGAATATCGTGAGATCCTCGCGTTATCTCTCTTACTCCAGTTTTCCTGTTTTGCATAAGAAACGATGATCAAATAATCCTAACTTATCTACTGCAATTTGTAAATACATAACAAGAAATACATACCCTGAATACACATAAGCTAAACTATCACCAACGTTGCAGGTACAAGCAATATATTTTTTCTGGCATATATTTGTATCAGTACTTGAACTTGGCAGTGGAAGGATGGTGCATACAGTTAAGGTAGTAAGCATTCCTTGCTCTTGAAGAATCATCGAATGTGCTGCATGGAATGATCGAAGTAACGCTATAAATATATCCTTTGTCGTTGTCATTTCACTATTAATAGACGGGCAAAATAGAATCTGGTTCAAATATTCTATACTTCCGTGGACTGCAGATCTGGCTGCTATACTCGCTTTTGTACCTGAAAATCCAAATTAATAAGTATCTCTTGCAATTAAAATAAAAGAAAGATTAAAGAGGAAAAAAATCAAATTTGATTAAACATAAAGATAAGTATAAAGAAAAAAAAATTAGATTTTTCTATCAGTTATTTTCTATCAGAATTAAGTATTAAATTTCAATACTTAAAATTTAAGAGTATTCATTGAATATATGTGAAAGTTACAAATACATCTATCAAACAAAACTTTTATTATGCTTCAACTTTTATCTCTGCCTTTTATAGTTTGAGCATATATGTTTTAAATCTGTGTTTTTACCCCAATTGACTCCATCTGCAAGAGCCAGTATAGCAGAATTTGGTCTTGCTACAATGCCAAAACAATCGGCTATTGGTTCTCCATTGCTGGTATCATTTGTAGGATTTTTCTCATACAAAGTAGTCGCAATTCCATATGCATTTTCGTGAGGATTAAACCAATCGGTAACTCCAGCAATTGTTATATTTGATGTTGTTGATCCTAAGAAAATTTTTGTATTTTTATTTTATAACAAATCGAAATCTATTTCAGTAATATCTTTGCTTTAGACTTACCACTTCTATATTGCTCATTTTGATCTAACATATCAATGTAATCAATGTCAGTATCGCTAATACTTAAATGTTTCTGTTGAAGATTGACTGCTGTAAGACCACTATCAGGACCAGTGTAGGCTGCGAATATTTCCTCATTTTCTTGAAAAATATCGATTTGTTTGCTTGGCAATTCTTCTGGATTTCGGCCGTGTAAAATTGGTGGTCCTTCTTGTTTTGTTTCTAGTCTAAGAAGATTAATGTAGACATATTAATTAGAGAATAACATATTATTATAAATAAGTAAAAAAAATGTGAAAATATTCAGGTGTGACTTATTTTTACCCATTGAGGTAGCGTGTGATGAAACAGCCACCAGGAAAATCCTGAGTTAATGATTGCGGGCTTCGAAGTGTCTGTTCCCCAAGGCCTATACTTTCCACAGCCCCGGCCAAGTTGCTGATAGACAATTGGCGCATGAAACCGGCAACTTTCTTCCGTAAACTTGGCATCTTTCAAAGAGATCCAAGTAAAGGTACAGCAATTAAGAATGTTAATTATTGTCTAACACTACTTCATCTGATGTAAGGCTCATACCATGGTTATAGCTACCAGTGACAGATTTCAAATTAAACCTGAAAATAAAAAATGTTATAAAATCTCCATAAGCATATAATGAAAGTCAACATAGATAACTAATGGAGCAAATCAGTATTGATTAATTCCAATAATGCTAATTTAATAAATGTAATAAGAAGAAATATATGTTAGTCAATAAACCAATTATTTTTCTATAAATAAACTGTTCGAAATTTCTGATCAGGTTCAGATTCCTGAATCTGAGAATGTCCATTATGTTGAATTTCTTTTCTAAGATAAGAAATAAATTTATCATTTAATTATTTCTATATATCTTTGCTTAATCTATCTATATACTAATATAAAATTTAAAAAAAAATAGATTAATCTTCCTTAATAAACAGAATAAACAGAATAAACAAACAAAATCAATTTAAATAATTTGATAATAATACAACTTTAATTTGAGTGCAATACAAGATATAAATGTATGTATAATCTGGAGATACGATAGTGAATTTATCATAAAACCTGATTTATATATTTACATTTCATGGAATCTATAGAAATAAATTAGAAAACTGTCAATTTATGATGTCTAGATTGTTGGTTTTGAACTGAAATTATAATTATCCCTTTAAACAATACATAAAGAAACTCGAATAATGATTGATCCTTTTGTTCAGTCAAAGATCCTTTTGCTCATTTCGCAGTCGTCTTATTAATTTAACGTGTCACATATTGTTTTTCTAAACGCATACGTCAGGCAAGATCAGACAAAACGGAAATGACAGGACAGGATCTGAAGAGAGACATAAAAAGTTCTGCCAGAGCGACTCCACCATTTGTAACATACGTGAATAATGAGACAATTACCTGGGAAAATTCTCACTACACAGGAATGAGATCACGACGTACGCTGCGCGAGAACATCGTTTTCCACCTTATCGCCATATTGGGACGATGTGTCAATAGCCGACTGACTGACCGTTCGCGATCGACGCGCGCGGCCGCCGCCTTCGCAGAACAAGGCCTACTCCTACTTGCTTCTACTACACATTGGCCACGTTTACACCGTGCGATCTGCTCTATACTGTGACCTAAACTAGGCCTTTAACTAAACGTTCACATCATAATATAGATATAGATCTATGAAACTTTTGGAAAGCCACGTGATTTAGTTCTGATTTCTGTGAACGCCGCTTATAGTAACATTATTGCAAATTAACATATTGCAAATTAAATTATTGCAAGTTGTGCTTATATAACTTGTTTTACAATATATTACACAATTGCTAGTCCCATCTATCAGTATATAATTTATACTCTATACGCATTTAAGCCGATTTTAAGTCTATATCTGCATTACCTGCACACGTGTTACATCTCGTTAAACAGTTCGGTTAGATCATTTGAGATTGTTGAAGGAGATCGTAAAAAAAACCTTACCAAAGACGGGCTTGGTTGCCAAACAAGCATTGATATTGTCATACAAATAATTGCGTTGTCCTTTTAAGTACCCCTTTTAAATTCATAGAGATATTTAGTGCCTATTTCAACCCTCCCTAACTGGATTGGAGAAACAGGCCTCATATTCTTTGGATGCATTCTTTTATTTGTAAATTATATGAAATAATAAAGATATTTCTTGTACAGTAAAAAATTGATTTTTAATGTTTTTACATAGGTATTTTCATATTTTGTTATAAAAGAAAAAGGAAATGTAAAATGTAAAAAAATGTAAGTAAAGTCTTGTATTCCACTTTATGCTAACCATGTCCGCTAGTTCTTTGAAAATTATATGTAAAGTTTATTTTTTCTTTATCTCTTATTAGTAAAACAAAGATAGTATAACACAATGGGCGTTCAAGTCGACAAAGCGACTAGGTTTGCTCGCCAAGTAATTAAACATGATTGGTTGGATTTATAGATAAGAACCAAATTATACTCATTCGCTCGGCAAGCCGCTTTGCCGTCTTGAACTCGTCCAATGGGTGCTTTCAAGCCAGAAAAAAAATTGCTAGCATGCTCGTCGAGCGATTGAATGCGATTGGTTGGATTTTTAAATAACAACCAATTATATTCACTTGCTTGTGGGCAAACATACTAATCGTTTTGTCGACTTCAACGCATTTGTTGAGAGCATTTCCTAAATGTAAATCCAATTCATCTTTGAGCACTACAAGCATCGTGTCCCTCAAACAATTATTTATTTTTTTAAACTCTCTCTAATTCTCTAACGTTTAAGATTTTATAGAAAATAGTATTGACATTTAGAATAAGATAAAAAAACTTTAACTTAAAAAAAGTTAATAAAGTTAATAAATATAAAAGTAACTACATAAATAACGTTAATAAGTATAAAAGTAACTACATGATGTTAAAAATTATTTATAACTTTTATTTAACTTTTAACTCATTAAGTATCATAACTCTGGAAAATAGATTAAAAAAGTATATTTAACACACACACACACACACACACACACACGCGCGCGCGCGCGCGCGCACACACATTAGGGAATATCTTGATATCAAATAAATATAATTCTACATTAATGGAAAAAATACATAAATTACATAAAAATTATTGAATATATTTTCCCTAATTTACTTTAAAATAATGTATTTTTCTAGATTTTTCTTTATGGCTATTCATATTAAACAAAAAAAAAACTGAAAATTATATTAGTACAAATATGATGTTATAATAGTAGTTATTTATTATATAATATACGAGATTGTAAAATTAACGAAACACAGAAATATTCTGAAGTAAATAAAATATATATATCTCTTCTTTAATAATTCAATAATTCTTTTTAATTAAAACAAGATGCATTAAATTCTATTCTACAATGTGTTTTTTATTTTGTTTTCTGTTTTCTGCTTTCTGCTATTTTTTACATTTTGCTTTTTGCTTCTTATCCGGTTTCTTATTTTATGTCACCCGAGATAAAAGTTGAACTTTGGAAGAAACAGGAAACATGTAGCAAAAAAAGCAATTCTTGATAAAACGGTTGCAAAAGTGGGAAAAAGCAAACAGGAAACAAAGAGCACATTGTAGAATAGACTTAATTAATGTCCACAATTTAGTTCTAAAAAATATGTACAACAGTTTTTTCTTTGACAACTTAAATCGCATTAACTTTATATCTTAACAAAATGAAATCATCACTCATATCATGAAATTATTTTTAAAAAAATCTTCATACTACTCATGACACTAACCATATTATATTTAGAAAAAACAATGTCCTACATATCACATATCTTTAAACATTACCAACACTTTGATTTTCTTGCGTGGCTAAAAAATAATACGCAATATATTACATTTTGTACAAAGATATAGTTATACATAACATTTCATTAGCTTTATACCTTTGTATGAATATTCCAAAGCTGTGGCTATAGTTCTCATATCTCCTTCTATACTGCGTGCCCAATTTTCTGCATCTCCAATTTCTTTTAAAGAGCTTGAGAAAGATTCTACCAAATTCAACCATAATTGCGTTTGTTTAGCAAAATTAGTTGCACTGTGTTGTAGTTGTTTTGCTTCAGCATCTAGCTTCTTTTGATTCAAATATGCTTGAGCTACACTATAATAACGATAACAATAAAACATTAATCATATATATGTATAATGCATATATATTTGTATATGTAATATTATATATATGTGCAAATGATAAAACTTGTTTTTTAATCATTAAAGCCGGCAGCATACAATGCTTGTTTTCTTGCTATTATAAATTATTAGAGAGAATAAATTCTTACCACTGTATTGACTATGATGCTGTCAGTACAATGATAAGATTCTAATTCAGCCAGTACAATGCTAAGATTTTAATCTAGCTAGGACTCCAGTAAGAAAACAAGTATCATATGCCACAGGCTTAAGATACATGGGACGCTGGTATATATTCCACCATTTATATATGCCTATCTATAAATTAGATCAAATCATAAACAAAAATTTTATTTACCCAACATTCAAGTGATCAACAAGGGCTTGTGTCAGATTGCTTGCAGCTTGAACAGCTTCTTTCCGCTTTTGCTCTGTTAAATCATTTCACAAATTTTATACTTAGAAATCATCATAAAAATCTTTAACACAGAATTAAATAATTTACATATTTTTTACCTTGTCTTTCTTTTCTCACAGCTTGTTTGCTCTGGTGTTCTTTGACAATTGCAGATAACATTTTTGATAGTTGCTACCTAACTGTATTGTTTCGTGTTGATTATTTTGCACTTAAAATAAATATATAATAATAATAACTTTATTGCACTTACAAGTTGGATTTGAATAATGTTTAGGTGTTAGCAAAAAGTGAAATAACACGATGTACAACTGATACAAGACTTCACCAGAGAAATTTGAAGTAATTATAATTATTATAATCGAGATACTGCCGCGTTTTCAAATTAAAAAGAAAGAAAGAGAAAACGAATCGTCGATTACCAAAAATCAATTACAATTAATCAACAAATATGACAAACCTGTCTCGATAGATGCGCTGTGCAAACCAATATTGACTATAGTACAAATACCATGTATTCAACGGAAAAACAATAAACTCTAGTTCAACCACGATAAACCTGAACTTCTGAGAGACTATCTCCGCCTTTTTCGTGTGACGCTTAAACCTTGTATTCACAATGCTAGAAATCGTTCCGACGGTTTATTCGCATCGCATGCTCCAACATGCTCCTGCCAATGTTCCTACTCACTCTAATAAGAGAAAGAGTTATAACAGGAGCATATTGGAGTATGCGACGCGAACAAACCTCGAGACTTCGGATGAAGAAAGAATTGACCAATCGCAATGGTCATGTGATCAAATTGTTCAAATGTGATTTGATTTTTTTCTCTATTCAAGATCTCGGACCGATTTCTGGCATCGTGGACACAAGGCTTTAGAAGTTTTCATGCATTAGCGACACCAATATCAATTTTATAGAATGATATGAACGTATCACATTGGGCACGTTCAAGTCGACAATGCGGCTAGATCTGCTCGCCAAATAATTAAACATGATTCTACAGGTAAAGTTTATTGAGACAACCAATCTGAAGCTTGCATTTTGAAATCAACACTTCATATTGGCTGCCGCAACAAACTTGCGATCGGCTTGCAACTAATGTAGAACCGGCTTAAAAACCAATTATACTCATTCGCTCGGCAAGCATGCCTAACACTTTGTCGTCTTGAATTCAGAAATCATATATTGTAGAATACACAGTTTCTGATAGGTTGAAATTCTTATTCTCTGTTCTCTGTTCCTTTTGTGTGTCCAGCAAACGAGAATGGATTAAAATGGATTGAAATTTTTTTCTATCCAAATGCGTATTTTAAATAGTGAACTTTTTTGGATTTAATTGAATTCAATTGTATTCAATTAGATTCAATTGGACGCAATTGGATTGAAAAACTGCATTTCCTATTCAAAATTTTGAATTTAACAGTATTCACAATGTGTGTTTTGTATATGTTGTTGCACAGAAAAAGCTAATATTATTTTTAGAAAGACGTAGAGATATGCTCCATGCAATTCCTATAAATGAATAAAAATGCATTTAGGATTGAACGTTTGCTGGGTTATATTTCATTTTGATTAAGGCACAGAAAATTTATATTTTACATGTATATGTGTGTGTGTGCGCGCGCGCGCGCACACACACACACACACACACACACACACACACACACACACACACACACACACACACACACACACAC